CAACAGCAACAGCAACAACAGCAGCAACAACAACACCAGCAGCAGCAACAACAACAACAACAGCAACAGCAACACCAGCGACAGCAGCATCAACAGCAACAGCAACAGCAGCAGCAGCAGCAACAGCAACGAACCGAATCAACAGGCACGCAAGGCACAGCAACAGAGCCCGAGGATGCAATGAGCCCCAGGCTAGATCGGTTCAGGATGGAGGGAGGTTGAAATGTGCAGATTTCAAGTGGAAGGTTCGCCACGCTCGGAATTAGTTCAACCTTCCATTATTGAAGTCCGAATCCGATGTGCTTTGCTTTGCAGTCACTGTTGAGATGAACTCTGCTGTGCAAGCCCCGAAGTGCTTGCGCATGTGTTTAACACTCCAAGCACACGTGCTATTCACCGGGTGACCCCAACCCTAGGTAAACATAAGCCGAAATCCAGGCCCCTATTCTATGGAACTGTTATGGACGAAGTCTGACTCCTATGTTGGACGGAATGGTACACCCCAATCCATACAGGAGGTGTCGCGCAAGCAGCAGCAGGCGTCAGCTGAGGCAAGACAATGGACTCGTACATGGTTCGGGTTTCGGGCTTCGTATCGCGATCCTAACATTCTCATGGTCCCCATACTTCTGATACCTGTACCCATACTCTGTAGGCCTCTTGGGATCGATGGTTAGGGCCAAGGGTTTTGAGCCTTCGCGAATCTGTGATCCCAGGCTCTCAAGCCCTCAAGCCCATCTGCAACAAGCGGCGGTCTTTTGTGTGGGAGATTGGCATGATGAAGCCTTGAGCAAAAGGATCTAAGCCAACTTCAATCCATATCGTTAACTCCGCCCAACACCTTGGACTGTAACAAAGCCACAAAGCCCAGTCAGGGTCGTGATTCCGGCTTGGCCGTGTTAAAGTGCGGGCGAGGTGGCGGGCTTGAACGCCTTGGACGCAGTTCAAGGGCAGAAACGGCTACACAAACATCACCTCGAATCTTGGAACTGCCCCAGCCCTTCAAAGCAACTCGAATCTCCTTCAAAGCCCTGTTCACGACGCACTAAACCAGTGTTTCGAATTCCACGAGCAAAACTCCATCCGTGAACACTCCGCGTGTTTGTCAGGGTGCATGACCGTTTGAGCCATGCCAGATGCAACCGTAGCTTCGTCCCTGGGGTGGTCCCTACCCTCGGCTCGCATCTCAGCACAACCGAATTGAAATAGGACGATTGGCCCAATTAACCAATCTCTGACCTGGACGCATCTCTCATTACGGCGTACAAGCCGTGACCAATAATGCAGAAATGCTAAGGTCCATGAGTGACAACCCATGAGTGGCGTATCCGAAGTCTCAGTCGACTCAGAAACCTTTGTTTTGCCCCCTACATCCTGCACAATCCCCTAGCAGTTCAGCAACAAAGCAGCACCTAAGCCACAGACCTTGAAGACAGAGCCTACGCTGTATGCACAATGAAATCTCGAAGTAGCCTAGACTAGACCTGCCGTTCTTCTCCAGGCCAGCGCCTTGCTCCTGGAGGCAGGGGCCCACGTGCAACAGCAGGCCCCCGGGTCGGTGTTCGGGATTTCGAAACTTGTCAGGTTAGGTGAGTTTGGTGTCTTACAGGTCCGAAGGTGTTTTAGCCGCTACTCCGGATGAGACTGCGAGTGGTGTATGACTAGTCTGACTTGCCGGCAATTTTAAGAGCAGCAGCAGTGTAGCCTAATACATGCAGCAGTCGAAAGCACAGTAGTCATCAAACCCTTTGCAGAAACCACAGCAGCTTCCCTTTTCAAAATAAGACGAGCAATTTTGCGCCAGAAGCAGCCCGATGGCTTCGTGTACCTCTCAACAATTCCGACGTGTAGCTTGAACCCTAATCGTAAATGTCTTAAATACGGAACTGATAATAGAAGCACTTTCCAAAATATCCTATTGAAAACATCCCTGCTTGTTCAAACCTCTTGTGGATTATGAGCAGGGGTTTCAGGAGCAAGAGCAAGAGCGGGAGCCAGCGCCCGAGCAGGAGCAAGAGCAAAACCAAGAGCAGCAGCAGCAGCAGCAGCAGCAGCAGCAGCAGCAGCAGCAGCAACAGCAAATGGACGGAAACGAGAGCAAGAGCAGAAGCAGGAACAAAACCAAGAGCAAGCCAGCAGCAGGAGCAAGAGCAACAGCAATATCAAAAGCGAGAGCAAGACCAAGAGCAAGGCAGTGCCAGGAGCAGCGGCAATACCTATAGATCCCGGGAATGTGACTGTAGAGGTAAAACTAACCTTCATACTACACAGTTCGAGGTTGTATTGGGGAGAGGGGGTTACTGTAATACTAAGATGCGATAAACCTTGCACACGCATATATCTGTTGGTCTTTTGAGATAGGCTTATTGTGGCTTCGCTTCAACGTCTCAGTCTTCAAGAGCAGAGTGCTGCGGAGTTTTGGGGTTTGGGAGATAGGAGTTGTCAGGTTTGGAGTTTGAGCCTTGACAGTACCACTTAGCCAGTTAGCCCCTATACATAGGTGTTTACGATGCGCAGGGTCCCCGATCGATTGCCTGAGGTCCCTAAACCTTCGAGGACCTAAAAGGCCTGACCCTCCACAAACCAAGTGCGCTGGACGGCAGGTGTGAAGACATATGGGCAGAACAACTCAGCCTCGTAGACATCTTGTTAGGACGACTCTGACATGTGCGACTGCCCATGGTGAAGCTTCGGCCCAACAACGAGCTGAGGCCCCAAATTCCATGAACGCCTGCAACCCCACACAGCCCCAAACTTCGGAGCGCGGGAGGCCCAAGGAACTCTCAAGCTCTTCATCCTGGAACCGTAAAGATGCTCTTAGCACGACGAAGCAACAACCCAGTCCCCTGCAGCCCTAAGCTGTCCGCCAGAAGCCGAAAGCCTGAGACTCCAGCACTTGACATCGCCGAACTTCCAAGTCCTCAGCAAAGCCAGGACTTTGGAGAAAGCCAGCGATGTGTGCGAGAAGCGAAGGACTGTTTCCGGAGTTGTAGAGCTCTTGCCATGCTTTTCCCATTGGGCTGCACAGTGCTACGGGCCATCGACAGCTGGCCACGACTTCTCGTTCTAACTGTGGTGGAAACTTAGAGGTTGTAGCCGTTGCACTTCACCTAAGTTCGAAGAGAGCCACGGGCATCCTCGCCTTCCATAACAGCGAACAGAGCAGTCTTGCTGTTCTAGCACATGCGGAAACGTGTTGCTTTAGCCAGACAGTTTGCTCATACGATTTACTGCATCTTTCGGAGCTATGGCATACCTTCTTTACTGTTCACGAATCTTATCCTTCGCACCACTCTTGCAACTGATCGCCCCTCTCATGTAGGCTCCAGAGGCTCGAGCGTTTGTTGCTATGGCGCCTTTCATGAGACAAGAAGTCGCCCCACACCGACTAAGGCCCATTCCAAGCGCTCGATTATGCTTGAAATGTCTAGCAGGTGCTTGGACCCTGCCTCCGGCCCTTGTTGATCCTTGGCCCAGGGAAGGACAAGAACATCCCGACACACCAATCCCTCCTCCCTACAATTAGACGATATCTTGACATGATGGAAGGTCATCATGTCGTGGTTTGCGCATCGTTCGGATTTGGAAGAACTTACCGTGCTCCATTCCCGGGCGGTAGGGGCTCAAGGATGTGGGGGGCTCGAGGTGAAGGCATTTTTTGGGCCCTGAAGGCCGCAGTCTAAACCCTCAATAGACAACACTTCGGTTTTGGCCGCGACTCCGTAGAGCTTGACGGATTACACGGAGTATCAGCAACTTGCTAGGAGCTCTACAGTTCTGACTTCGACGACGCGGGCGAGGCGTCAGCCAATGACTTCCTGGCCTACATCAAGAAGGCAACACCCCAACTCCATTGAAAATTTCCTGGTCGTTGGGGGCCTGGGCTCAGTAATTATTTGAGCGCTTCTGGTTGTGGGGCTGTTTCGAGCTTGAACTGGCGAACCGCTTCTTGCGAGGTTTCGGGCTGATCGCTACGGCTGAATTTGCTGTGTTCGGGATTTCCGCGCTTTGGGGGCCCGGGCCCTTCTCGTCTGTATCGTGTTCCGGCCTTCAGGCCGCAGGATGCACATGCCTGGAGAGGGTTTTGGTGCAAAGGGTCGGGGTCGAAACCCTACGAAGATGAAAGCCTCAACCCGTCGCTTGAAGTGTTGGGTGACGGAAATGATCTCGGAAGGACTCTGCCTTGACATGTTCGTGCGCCGGGCTTCTGGATAGGCCACTAGCTACTTGAGCCAGGCTCGGTACATTTCAATCTTTTTCTTGGAGTTGTTCTAGCAGGAGCTGGTTCACGGCTCCCGATTCGGGGTTTCGAGCCTTCAAAGCCTGAGTCACATGGGGATGTTTTCGGTCACAACTCGTCCAAGCTTGAGCACCCTGGGTGGGAATACTCTCAGTTTATTCCAAGATGCGCAGCACGAGCCCCTATAGAGCTTCATGTAGCCACTCTGGCTGAAGAGAGGGGCAGGGTACATCATGGCGGTTGCCATGGAGAGGCCGCCGGTGCACAGGCTCCCAGACTGGCAGGATGTGACGCATTTTTTTTCGGAGGATTTGTTCAGAGCTGAGCCATGCGTGTCTTTGCGGCCTTCTGCTTTAGCGGTTCCGGCATGTGCTGCCTTTGATTGTCATGTTGCAGAACGTGGGACCACGCTTTAATTTTCAGTCAATTCCACGACAAACCCGGGGCTCGCGCAGACGAGCTCGAAACGTGAGACGTCTGATAGGTGCAGGCACATGCCTGTCAACCTGAAATCCTGAAGTGTAGAGTGGCAGCCCAGTGGCTCCGAACACACTGCTCTCGCCAGTGCTCATGTGCCGGCGAGTGTCATCCACACTACGGCCGTTGTCGGCGCCATCACGCCTTCTAAAGTCTTCTACATCATGCGCATGCGCATCGTCATCGGCAGCAGCAGTGCCATCCTTTGCTGTTGCATGCATAACACGGGTTATGGATAAGTTGCAATGCCAGGTACCCATGCCAGAATCCCCCAAAGTCCGAGGCTTCGGCACACCGGGGCCTCGATTCTCAGTGGCACCGACTCGGTTCGCTCGTCGCGGACGGGCAGCCGTGCTGGGGATGTGGAGCCAGAGGACATGGGCCCCTCCGAAGATGTTTGGCATGCTGGAGATGATGACAATGATGACGATGGTAATAGCTGTCGTAGTAGGTCTCGGTTGCTTAATTCATGTCTTGGAGCGTGTCAAACATGATGGTGCTCATAATGATGGTTGCCACTCGGTTTCTGAAACTGTCGTGGAGATTTGCAATTAGTGATCTGGCAGTCCTGTCATTAGCGCAATAACAATGAAGCAGCGCTTCGGACAATGCTGTGTTCTGCTCAATCTCCTCAAGTCGCTGCTGCCATCTTTGCGTACTACTGTCGTATTTCTTGAACCGTTGAATGTGAGGGTTGCAAATCCTCGCGGCATGTGTTCTCTGTCTCTTCTTCCTCCACCGTCACAACGAAGGCCAATGCTAAGCCCACCCGCGCGATCACCACCAGCACCTAGCACCTAGCACAACGACGACCATTGTGGTGATTGTGGTCGCTGCTCTAGCCTGTCAATTTGGGGTTTAGGGCCTTCGTAGGTTTGGATGACGGTGACCTGGGTATGAAAAGTCATCATGCAGCAGAGTGTTTCGTGTCGCTGGCTTGCAAAAACGTTTCTTGTCTGGAGAAGCTTCACTGGGAGGGCCAGTGTACGTTTGATGCCGAGACTTCAGACTCAACATAAAAACTTTGCATCTGCAACCTCAGGCGTGACATGATGAACCATGGTCTGTATGTAGTCATTCGTTAAGCCGGAATGGAAGCTGGATCCCAGGCTACGCACGGCAAGAGCAGAATCCTGGACCTGCTGCCCTCGAGCGGCCCCCACCGATGGTACCCATGCCGGGCGGGGCTTTCCCGGTGCTCGACGCGCCCTGGACACCTGCTGAATCCAAACCTTGAAGCCGTAAATCCAACCCCCAAAGTGTCGATTCGGTAGCATGGGAGGCTTGTCGGCCTGTCGGGCGGATTTCAGGTTCGCGAGCATGGTCAGAAGGGCTGGAGGTTAAACGGTGAAATTGCCCTAAACGCGCTGATCCCAAAGTCGCAGGATTGTTTAGATTACACCTTAAGCCTTCCATCATATACGCTACATTACAAGCCATTTCAACCCCTCTCATTTCTTCCGGCAGTTTCGCGGGCAATTGTAGATCCCGGCACAAGCATCGCAGTGTTGGATGGAGACCGCAGCACACGTGGGACGATATATCCTGAACTACGTGTCAGAATTTGTCGTGATTTGAGTGAGAGGTTTTTATGGCTCAGCCTATTAAACTTTAGTGTGTTTTCCGAAGCCGAAACGCTCGGAAGGATTCCGCAGATGCCTGGAGACATGCCTTTTGGCATGGAGAGCTCCAGGTCTGGCAGCTCCCGCCCCGAGGTGCGAAATTTCAGACTTGAGGGTATTGGGGGGTACCTTAGGGTTCCTTTAAAGGGATCTATAAGGGTTCCTTAAAGGGATCTATAAGGGTTCTATAAAGGGGGGAGGGGTTGGAAGATGAGGGTGCGGGACCAGATCTTCCAGGGTTCAAGCATTTCAGTCTCGACCCGGTTGGTTCAGTTCCGGGCTGTTGGCCGTAGAGTTCTTGAGTGTTCGGTCCTTGTCAACTCAGAAACCAGGCAGTCCAGGCTGCGGCTGCTCGAGTCTTGCTTGGGAATGGAAATCTCGGGATTGAGGCAGCGCGATGCGTTCAAATCTGTCCAACTTCGCAAGTTTTACATGCTGCAATAAGCTAATAAGCCACACTAAAACTTCTAGGTCCTGCGCCCGCCTCTCAAACCATACAAACCGTAATTCCCTGAACCCTATCAGTCAGGCCATGGGAAGTACGGTCTACATCTGGCTTCCATTTGACGAAGCCCAATCCCCGGCAAGCCTTTCCCAAGCCCCGACAAATCGCTCAACGTCTTGTGAAAAGGCGATAGACGAGCGGCCTCCTTCCGCCTCGCGTTCCGGCTTGCTCTACACGGACCCTGGGCCCCAAGCGTGAGAGCTGGGGGCCGCTAGTAGCGGGTGGACCCAGGTTTTGGGGTTTATGAATTCTCGAAGCGTCATAGTTAGTTTTGTGTGTTGTGGCCCGCTGCGTGTTTAAAATGTAGTGGCTTTACGGTCGACTGTCATCGGGGAAAGCTACGACACGAGGTGCTAAAGAGCCTGCCGTCATTGATTGTTCTGCAAACTCCAAACCGGCGGAACACGTCTTCAGACATCTTGACAGTGCTTCTCGACCGAAGGTATCGAGTTTTGGTGCGCGTTAACTTCTATACATTAGTGCAGCTACGAGTAGACATGTGTATATACATACATAATACATACATACATACATACATACTTACATACATACATACACACATACATACATACATACATACATACATATGTACGCTCACGCATACGTGTACACACATTGGTCTCGAATTGCCCATGTCACATCAATCTCCCTCTGTCTTTCTTCTTCCCGTATTCAGTGTGCATGTATGTATGTCAGTAAGTATATGTATGTATCTATCTAGGTATGTATGTATGCATGTATGTATGGGTCAAAAGCTTTCCAGAAGGGCAAAGTGAAAGTGTGCTTCGCAGTGCACGCTTGACCGACCAGGGTATGGGTATGGGCGTCATTCGCGGGGAGACCCCCGAAAAAGGCTTTGAGCGCGATCTTCAAACGAAGCAGTCTACCTTTTGCGGCATGCAGTTTTCCTCCAAGCATGCTCTCGACCGACCTGGCTCTGTTGCTCTCCCTTTCTCTCGGTAATTATCTTTTTGCATTCTGGACGAGTGGAGTCGGTTGTGTCACTGTTGCGCTCGCACCCTCGGGCTTGGAGGGACAGCGATGGGCAGCAGCCACGGTGATTGGGTCCCAGTAAACGGGCCCCTTTTCATGTGTATAGGTATTCGTGAGCACATGATATGCTCAGATGCATTAAGCAACCTGCGTGCAAGGACAAGGCGCCCAATCCGATGGAGCCTTACCAGGGTCCTGCTCAGAACGTTCCGGTGCTGCAGACGCCCGGCATCTCTTTTTCATCCGGCGTTCTCGTTTTTGGCAGGTTGCCATTTACGTTTGGATTCGGGTTGGCTGTTCGATTCGTTCATGTCTTGTCGTTTATAGGAGCTACAGAATTGGCTTGCGCATCTTAGCTCGATGTTGTCACAGCCTACTGCAGCCAAACCTAGCTTACAAGGCTACTCCACACGCTGCGATGGTTGCTCAGAATTCCTCGTGGTCGTATCAGGTCTCAGAGCCGTCGTCTGTGGGTTCAGGCTGTCTGACAGGATGTAGGCTGCAAAGCTTCGTGAAAAGACTTCACTTCCAGCCTCAACATCAATTCCGTCAGTAGTGCTCGAAGCTTTCTAGGACCGTTTACTTCTCGACTGGAAGTCTACACGCTTCGACCCCTTATCTCAGCGGTCACTCGGTCGGCTGAGTTTGCTGTCGAACTCACAAATATTGTGCAAATACCTGTCAAGACAACCTCTCAAGCCCATCAAGATCCCCAAGCCACGAAGCCAAGTCGCACTTCCAAAGGAAAGTCGCGCCAAAGCGCTTTAGAGGCCCTCCGGAGCAAGTCCCGAAGGCGGCTCGAAGCAGCTCTAGATTGTATACTAGATGTCGAAGCTGAGATTTGTGGTTTCAGCTGTCTAGCTGCTGGAATCCAAAGCCCTGCCTCCTGTTTTGCTTGGAGTATGGACGTAAAAGCCGGTAGGCGTGGCTACGTGTTCGGGCTTGTAATTTGCAGCGCTTGTAAGAAAAGCGCCTGCAAGACGTGCATACTTCTGGTAACAGGTTTCCAGAGTGCCCACGCTTTTTAGTATGACAACAGTAAACGGCCGCAGTTGGCGCCTGCAATAGAAGTAGACATGAAGTTCGTAAGAACCCTGGCGGTGTTACAGATACCAGTAAGCACACTTGAAGCAGCGTTGCCAACATATTTTGCACTCGAGCTATCGACAAGCAATCTTAAATTAGACCGTATGCTGTTTTACTAACAGCAACATTCAACAGACAGAGCACCGTCAAGAGTAGAAGCAGCAGCTGATGAGCACAAGGACTGCTTCATACAGGAGCACTTCCTAGCTGTGATTGTTGTCATTGCCATGCATGTGCAATGGTGACATGCACGATGAAGAGCAGTGACATGTCTGTAGCACTGGACAGAGTCTTTTGGGTGCACACGTGTGGTCTGATGCAAGCTATTTGACGCTTAATTTCCGGACGATCCGGGTGTGGCTCTCATCCGGTCCCTCTAGACCTGTCAATGCTTCTTAGTGTCAACGATGAGTGTACGGTTGAGGTTTTACAACATGCAGTGGTCGAGCGCGCGCAGTTCATGAGCATAGCTCCTCTACTTTGGATCAATCTAGCGCCAGATCTGGAAGCATCACTCCTGAGATGCCAACTGAAACCTGGTCCCTAATGATTGAAACATCTGCAAATGCTAGGACTGCAGCTCTAGTTGCACTGAGACAGACTCTGGCCACAGCCTAAGATTCCAACCCTGACCCTACGATCCTGAACTCACAGTTTCACCCCAACACAGACCAAGAAAATCCTGGGAACAGGCAGTTTGGACTGACAGCGTGGCACACCTCCCTGGTGATGAGGACTTGTGGCCCTCCACGCCGCGCAAGCTAACTCCGGTCAGAGTCAAAAACACCGTCCTGGGCTTTTTTCAGGCAGCAGGATTCGATTTTCTTCGCAATGCTCGTTGTGTCATATTTTAGCTTGCGCTTTGAATGAGGGATGAGAATCCTAGTGTCACTTCGACGCCAATTGTAAACGTTGTTGGTCTAGGGCTTTGAAAGAATGACCGATATGTTTGCGTCTCCGTAGAGGCCGAGATTGTTCGAAAGTCAACAGGCGATCGCTGACGTTTAAAGCTTCCTAGGACTGTGTACCTTACACTTCAAATCTGACTTTAACCTGCACCCATGTGCTGAAGCCCTAATCTAGGCCCCGTAATCTAAGCTAATTAAGCTACAAGAAAGCCGCTGGCATGCCTGAATCCAACACTCCACCGGGAGCATCGGCCCCGTAGCTGCATTGAACATACAACCAAGACTAAGAGCTGCGCACCTCTGATCTACAATGTCAGCTGGGACAGTGAGTTTTGGGTGCCGTGAGCCCTGAGCCTCAAGACTCAGATCATGGAGTCCCAGGCACTTGAATCGTAGCCCTTTTTGCCCGAGACATGGAGACACAATAAAGTAGCGGGTGCTTCACAAGCAGGTACTAGCCAAAATAGCAACAGGCTTCCTAGGGCATCTGGCTGATTGTTGCAGGGTCCAAGACCTAGAACGTGAACACTAAACGCTCGACCAGAAGCCTTAACACTTAAATCCACTTAGATCTCAAGTACTTGGCTCCTAAGTCCCAACGCCTATGAATCCGTAACTTCGACACCGCAGTGCCTCAAGTCTTGTTTCCAGGAGTGGCCCTTGCATGCAGTGCCCCTTTTCATTTTCGGTGGTGTAGATCGGCCGCGGCCAGCTTACCGCGAGGAGATTTGGAATCACATGGTACTTTTCACAGGGTTCTGCTTGGGACCCTAAGGCATATGCTACAGTCATATTGAACGGGCTTCTTGCCTCTCTAGTCTTCGTTCTTCTGTCTAGTCTTCGTGGGCGACCAGTTAGGTCTGCTGTTCCAGGTAGGGCCGACTCGGATGCATATGGAATCTTTTCGTGGTGATTTTTGAACATGACCGGCATGCATAGGATTTTTGGATTATTTTTGGTTTACATGATGGGGCGGAGTGGGTTAAAACCGCTCTTCTTCTCCGGGTTGCTGTGGCAGGGTCTGGAGCTTCGGGGTGTTGGGCTTGGTGCATGCCGGTGTTAGTGCTTCGTAGCTCCATGGAGTTATTCGAAGTTGCA